ATAATAAATACAAATAGCAAAAAACCCATAGGAAATGAGATATTTCCAAAAAAAGCGCAAAAAACCGATTTTTGTGACCTTTGACCTTGAAATTTAATAGTTGCTTACCCCCTACCATATGTAGGTTTTGAGACAACTTTTAGGGTGTCAATATACAAGTATTTACAGACTTACAGCTGGGTATCTCTAATTCCGATATTCTTATCTAATTTAAGCTTAAATGACCGGATTAGAATACAATAATTCGTTTGAAATTGTCCTTATAGGACGAAACTGCAGTAACTTTAGTTACAAATTCAAGTGGTGAAAAAACAGAAAGTTTTATTTTTCATTTCATGATGATCTCCAATGAGGAAGTAACGGCTACATCCATTTTGAGCAGACCATGAGGACATGGTGTCTACGTCAGATTAAGCTTGACGCTAAGCTTCCAGAGTATTGATAGTAGCAGTAATTGAATCCTTAGAGTGATAGAAGCAGCCCTATTTGGTGCTTCCTTTGTTTCATCTAAGTGACATCCTATTCAACTTTTACATTTCTGCTAGACTCAACTGTCCTTAACGGCAATTAAATTGTTGCATGCTTCAAACTGTCCATTCCTTTTTTTCGCTTTCGTTCTACAAAGGAAAACAATACATCAAATCAATAAAAATAGCCTGACTACTGCCCGTAATCGAAATTCATATCCACCACAGATTAACACTTTTAATAAAGTAATAATGTCGCTGAACTCAGTTTACAAAAACACAGACAAAACACCGAAACCTTTTGATCTTTCCGCCGGCCGACGGGACATTTAATTGTTGACAAAAGTAGTCGCCCGCCACACAAAGTCTTCAAGATGTTTCTTATTTTGACAACTAAAGTTTTTTGTTTTGTCGAAATCGACCTAGTTGCTACTTTTTTGTGGTTTTGTCCGTTTTCTTGGAAATCCGCTTTAACGGGGGATGTCGTCGCTCTTGTTTTCTCAGGCTTATTGGTTGAGGATAGTTCAGTCCAGCAATGCATTTGTGGTTCAGCCTAGCACCACTGATGACACCTATGGCTGATCACAAATGCAATGTAAGCACTGCTCAGATGCCTTGCAACTGGAGCTGGGAGTGCCACAGGGTAGTGTTTTGGCCCAATACTATTTTCTTTATTCATTGCTGACATAGTGGAATTTTTACCTGAGTATAATATCAGGAAATCAACAACAAAATTCTTGGGAATAACCCTAGAGGACGATATCAGCTGGAATGAGCATATTACAGCAACTATAAATACATTAAATACAAAAATATATCAAATTCGATGTATGCGGAATGTGGTAGATATCGGCAGTCTGAGAAATTTCTTCTTTGCTGAAATCCAGTCTATTTTACTTTATGGCATTTTACTATGGGGAAACTCTCCGGCTGCACAGCATCTATTTCTTATTCAGAAAAAAGCAGTAAGAACTATAAAAAATGTATCACCCAGGAATTCCTGCAAACCATGGTTTGCCGAATTGAATATTCTTCCTCTGGCCTGTCTTTATATTATGGAAGTTGCCTGCTACATCCATAAAATAAAAAACACTCTTCCCAGGCATTTGGACACACATGTCTACCAAACCAGAAACAATCAGCTAATCTATCCAAATCATAGCAATCTCCAAATAACAAGTGTAAGAATTTACAATGAATTATCCACTGGCATTAAAATTCAGCCTACACACTTCAAATTTCGAAACTCCATAAAACGCTTTCTGCAAGAAAATTTATTTTATAACATTGACGAATTTTTAATGTAACTTTTTAAGCAAATAACTTATATCGCTGTTCTTTTTGTTGTCTTGTAGTTATGTACGTAGTCTTTACTATACAGGCTGATTCACGGTGGATGGCACATTAGACGTTTCTGGTGAACCAGACAACGGATCACTTTTCACCAGAAACGTCTAATGTGCCATCCACCGTGAATCAGCCTGTATTTATATACATGTACTAAGACATTATATCCTGACATGTTCAATACCCTAATGGGTCCTTTGAATGAATAAACTGATTTGATTTGATGTTTTTGGACTCTGTTTCAACAAGAATACATATTGGTGGATTATGTCGGAAGTTTGATCCGTATATCTGCTCATAATATTGAAAAAATAATTTTTCAGGGACGAGTGATATTCTCCAGTGGTTCCCCATTCGGAAAAGTTGTTCTAGGCGATAAAACTTTCTACCCCGGTCAAGGAAACAACGCCTACATTTTCCCCGGCGTGGCACTTGGAGTTCTATTGGCCGGTATCCACCATATTAGCGAACAAATATTTTTGATTGCATCGGACACAGTGGCGAGTAATGTGTCGGAAGAAGATCTTGCCAAGGGCAGCCTCTATCCTCCTTTGAATTTGATAAAGGAATGTTCCATGCAGATTGCTTGCAAGATATTGGATTACGCCTATGAGGAACGTGAGTATTTTTCTTTGATAATGAAGTACGATGACAAACCTAATTAGCATATGTTAGTATATAAAAATGGTATTTTATAATATATTCGGAATATCTATAAAACTCATTCAAAGCTACCATTTACATTTATACATGATAAACAGGGCCCGAAATATATAATATTTTGTATAGTGACTTTCATGGTGGGACTATGTATATATCTATTTTATAATAATAATTATAATGATAATATTCATTGGTCCAAGAAACAACTGGTGTTTGTAAATTGAACAACAAAAAAAACGAAACATGTTTTGACTTAACCTGTAACTTAAGTATTATTGGAAGTATCCGGCTCGAAGGACCATATGTTTTGACTTTACCTGAAAATTACGTATAATCGAAAATGTCCGGCTCGAAGGACCATATGTTTTGACTCCACCTGTAAATTAGTTATTATTGGAGATATCCAGTCTCGAAGAACCAAATTAATTATCTATTTTTTTCAATTTATTTATTTAATTGTTATTCATTAGGTTGTTTCATAAGTTTTGTCTATTTTTATGAGTCTGCTTTGAACTGTAACATCTCAGTGAATACTTATCCAATTTAATCGAAATAAGCGCCATTTGAATCAGTGCCTTTGTATCACTGGTCGATTAATTCTGTCAGTATAAACACTGGGTGCTCGGGATTCGATAAAGGGTACGAAGGCCGTTTATGCCTTGTCCTAATTGGCGAAGGTTCTACCGATGAGAAAGTTATCGAAGTGCTTGAAAAGTGGTAGTCAATTGGCGAGAAGTCTAGGAAGTATGGTGGATGAGTCAGAACTTTGACGCTCAATTCGTTTAATTTTCGGACGATGATTTGTGAAACGTGCGGACGAGCGTTGTCGTCGAGCGAGGTTGGACCTCTTCTGTTGACTATTGTCGGCTGCAACTGACGCAATTTTCGGAACCATTCGTCGATTTCTTTACAATAGGATATTGCTGTGATGATTTGACTTGGTTGCAGAAAGTTAAGAATAGAATAGAACTTTATTCGTCACTGAAGTTGTTGAAAACAGAAACGCAGAATCCTCGCCCTGGATTCGGCAACTTCGGAGCTCATCTTCTCGACTGAAATCTCGGGAACGAAATCTTGCAAAGCAACATTGAACAGTGTTTTCATTAACTGTATCATTGCCAAATGCCTGGTTAATTTTTTGGATTGTTTCGGCAGGGCTTTGGTTCAATTTGAATTCGTAGAGAAAGACTGGAAAATCGTTTACCGACATCAAAAATTTAAATGAACATCATCAACATTTGTATCAATCAGTATATGGAGCTACAGAAACACATGACAATGAAATGTGTCGGTTTTTAATTTGTCACACCTTTTTTCAGGTATTGCATCAGTTTATCCAAAACCGAAAGACATGAGGAAATACGTGGAGTCTCATCAGTACAACTACAACTACGAACCTTCGTTGCCTCAGACATGGCCGTGGCCCAATCCCCCCTACATCAAAACTAAACCCATGGACCCCATAAAAATAAAAGGATAACTTTTAGAGCCATAATCGCTAATAAAATTCATGTCATGATAGTATTAAGGTAAATTATTTCTTATTTTTTATGAAATTCACTTGTGATTCAAATATTTATTAGTACATTGGCATCTCTTGGTTTACATGAATGTACATAGAGTGCTGTGCCATAATAAATTTTCATTATGTTGTGTACTTAACGGGAAAATCGTAACGATAAGTATTATAATCTGTATATTTTATTGATTTGAATGATTTATTTTTATCAATTTGCGTATTAGCAACAGTATTGTGCTCTGGTCAATTATTTCCTTTCCTTGTATTTATTCAAAGAAAGTTATTAAATGTTATGACACTGTTCGTCGAGTGTTTCATTCGTAAGTCAGCACTTCTGAGTCAGAACTTCTGAAATAAGTAAAAATTAAATGTTTTGTCAACATATTATTATTATTATATTCCTCCCTATTCACCTCCTTTTCAACCAATTGAAGTATTTTTAATATGAAAAAAAAATATTTCGTCTCGACAAAAACACCACAAAGTTATTACGACTTTGATTTCGATACTTCGACTTTAATCGCGAAATTACGACTTTGAACTCAAAATTTCGACTTTGATTTCGAAATATCAACTTTAAACTCGAAATTTCTTGTTTTAAGTCGTAATTTCGAGCTTTAAAAAAATCTGTTTTTCCGTTAACCAGCTGTCGCAACCCTACGAACGACAACCCTCAGAAGTCGAAACTTGTGCGAGCTAAGGATTAATGAAGTCTTACCTTTCAACGTGTGATTCCTAATTGTGAGTGTAATTTCGAGATTCAAGTCGTCATTTCGAAATTCAAGTAATAATTTCGAGATTAAAGTCGTAATGTCGAGATTTGAGTCTAATGTTGGGGAATGTTCCTCCTGACGAAAATCAAGTAGTTTTCATGAAAGAGCTCTAAAACAACGCATTTTAAACTCATTTCAACCTTTTTCTTTAAAAAATTATTTGAATACTTAAAAAAGAGGAATGAAATAATGCATTCAACATTTAAAGGGATTCGTTTCTATTTCACCATTTGGCAACATCAGTTATAGCTAATAAAGGACAATGAATCTGTTACCTGTATGAGACAAACAAAAATGACATATTTCAGAGGCGTGCTGTTCTGTTTACTTATGTTCCGAGTTCCGAGTCAATCTGTGACATTTTGTGCACCTAACCTATCTTCCTCTATATAAATAAATAACAAAACAACTGTTGTTTATGTGGCTTGTGGAGGTGGTATTGAACTATAATTTATATTTATCCTTAATTTTTGATTTATAAAAATATTTCTTTTTAAAAGTAGAATATCTAGGTACATATAAATTATTTCAACTTGACATAGGCGCTGTTGCCTATATGTGAATTAGAAACAAATCCCTTAAAAAATTAAAACCCAACATTTGAAACATCAATTTGAATACATTCCAAAGTGAATTTGAAAAACTCAAAGAAGTAATTTTCAGACACGACTTATATACTTCACTCAAAGTACTCAACAAGAACTACTGAAAAGCAATCTGAGACGTTTATAATAAGAAAAGTAATGTCTTGCTTTCAATTTGTGTACAGCAGCCGAAAAAAGACTTTGCTTTCAATAGTGATGGTGACTATTTTTAGAAAAATGTTCAAACTATACAAACGTAATTGATATGAAAAAATTTTTTTTCAAGTGAAATCTTAACCACCAAAAAGGTTTTTTAAATTCTGTTTCGAATTTTATACCAACTTTCATTTTTGAGATTGGCAAATGATGGTCAGCAATGAGTTTTATTTATTTCTTGTAAAACCACAGGAAAATCAACAGGATACTGGGTGTTGTCTGGGTTACAATTAATTACACTGAGTAATTAAATGAAAAACTACAATATTAATTAAATTACTTCCTCCTTTTTTTCGATATCAGAAATGAAATTACAACAAATTTTCATACTTTGGAAAAAAAAACTATTTTATTTCTTGTATCATGTTGGTGTATATCCTTGTGAGCAACTTCATTCAACAAGTTTTGTTGAACAAGAAGCAGATTTTCATAGACAATAACTGAATATAGGGTCATTATTTTAAGTTTCACAAACATTGGTCGACATTTTTCATCATAATTGGCAGAGATTATGCTTCTTACTGCAGAGTTTTGAATGACAAATATTCTATTAAGATGTACCTTTGATGCATTATTCCAATTGATTATACCATACCTAAGGACTGAATGAAAAAAAGAATGATATGTTGCAAGTGCCGCACTTTGATTTACTATTTTTTTAATTCTTCTGATAGCAAAAGCCGTCTTATTAAGTTTACTACACATGTTATTTATGTGGTCTATCCATTTCAGGTTGGAATCTATTTGTAATCCCAAAAAATTAGAATTTCGTTTGACAATTTTCAAAGTATTGCATTGCAATTGAAGTTGAGATTTTATGGAATTGAGTTCAAGTTGAAAACCTTATGGTGGAACTTGATAGATTTTGCGCGGCTCAGATTGTCTGGATTCAAGTTCAGCTGTAGCGAAATTGATTTGATTAAGTAGATTCAAAACTTGTTCTAGATTTATTCAACCACATAAATTCTACCCTACGTTGGGCGTCAGATGTAGTAACGATCAATTAATTCCATCCTTCATTTCAGTGATCTTGTTTGTCAGAACTCACGTCGTAACAGACCTTCTACCTGTGTAATGACTTATTTTATTTTACCCGAAATTAGGTAAAAACTAATTGAAAATTTGGTAGAGCTGGGCAAGTTTGTCGAATTTGTTATTTCCATTCACCCATCAATTGAACTCACCACTGAAATGAAAGTAAAAATTTCTTGACATGACTGTATAGCCACTGAGTAGGTAGAAGATCGTATGATTCAAATTGTTATTATATGTAGTATAAATTGTAATTAGTTTATTACATGCCCTTTTGAAGAGTTGGCAACATTTTCTTTCATGATGTTTAAAAAGTTATCACCTCAACTTCAGAAATATAAAAGTATTAGTCATAATGTAGGTGATAGTCAAGATTCAAATTGTTATTATATAAAGCACAAATTGAGTAGAATTTAGTCAGTGGGAAAACTCTTGAGGAAGCTATTGCATAGCAAAACACGTGTTCCTCACATATCTCTAAAATCAGCAGAAATAATCTGAATTATTTTTAGAATAATAAATATTACTTCAAATTATCAGGTCGCTAGAAACAAGAACTGTAACTTACCTAAAAATAAATAATATCAAAACACTCATGGTATTTTTTTTAAATTAGCCTATTTCGGAAAACAATTATTTTTATTTCTAAAGTCTTTAAAAACTTGGAAAGTATATTGTATAGACTTAATTAACTAACATGACTAGATCAAGACAGCAATTTCACAACTTCACCACTTTGTAATCTTGATAATATAAAAATAAAAAAGCTCTCACTGTACAAGTTATGGAATATGATACTTTCACTTAACCTTCTTATTTGAAATGTTGTGCCGGCTGTCACTGTTTCTATTTTTTTCGATTACTTCCACTGCGCATCTCCTTGGAAACCAGCCTCGGCTTCGAAGCAAAGATTCCTCACCAGCAGGTAAGTCATCTTGAATTTTTTCACCGAACAGCCAATGTCTAGAAATTGAGGAATCTATATTAATTTTATATTGAAAAATGTTGCAGATGTATATCAAATTTGCTATACAATTTCTGACAGAGCGAGATAATTCTTTTGACGTTTTTCTACAGATTTTGTGCCTACCTCATCACTAGTTTTATTCAAATCAAAATGTTATTTGTTCAAGAATGAATTATATTGCCAAAGCATTGGTAACTCAAACTAAATACAATTAAAAATTGATAAGTGAGTGGTTATGTCTGTGAAAACTACACAAAGTGAAAAACAGGTAGATACAATTTGAACAAAAGATAAGGCAATAAAACTAGGGCTTCCAATCCTGCAGTTTGTATTCAATCTGGGGATTTGCAGGACTAGAAATTATTACAATAATATCTCGTTCAATTTTCAGAATAGATAGATAGATATCTTTATTTACTTTACACAGTATTTGGAGTCCTACATGAACACTGTTGCAGAATACGTTGTCTGTAAAAGTATGTCAACAAAATACAAAACCTTAAATCTACATACACTTCAGGAAATATGAACTGTCAAAAATCACACATGGAGCTTAAAAAAAAATAAATATATAGTAGTAAATGTTAAACAAACTAAAATACATCACACTTTTTTATACATCATACACTGACTAAAAATTTTTGACTAAAGAAATTTGATTCAAATGGAACTTTTGTATTTTTACACATTTTGAAAAATTTCCTGAATTCTGTAGGGCTCCTGATCGAGAAGGAATTCTTTCAAAGACCTCAGAAACCTGCCTACAACATCAATGTTGCGTATATTTTAGGGGATCCTCTGTTATAGAATTTCATCGCTTGATAGACGGTGCTACGCTCATACAATGCCTTAGTGTTAATGGGATAAGCAAAATCATTTTTGTCTTGTTTCATAAAAGTGGGTTTAACGGTATTTCTCGAAAAGATTTGGATCAGCAGTTAGAAATTTCATTATTTCAAAGATATATACTGCTGGTGCAGCGAACAATTTATTTGACCTAAAAATTACCCTACAGGAATCTCTAGAATTTTTGTTGAGAAGTACACGTACCACTCTTTTTTGACACAGAAAAACTCTACATAATTCATTACTTGAGCCCCAAACTGTTATTCCTAGCCTCATGATTGAGTAGAAATTTGCATAATATACAATTAATAATAATTCGTGATCATCATATTTTTCAAGTACTCTTATCCCATATATTACTGAAGACAACCTACTGCATATATTGCCTATCTGAATTGTCCAACTCAAAGCATCATCAATGCTGATTCCCAGAAACTTTTCACTATCAAGTGTTACGTGATGTGGCGTTTCTAAACTGTTGTTGGTTTTAAATATGAGGCAGTCAGTTTTTCCTTCATTTAGAATTAACTTGTTCTCAAGAAAATATTCTTTGCATTGTTTGATTACGTCACATCCATTCTTGATTATATCTGGTAAAGTGGTACCAGTTAGCAGGAGATTGGTGTCATCAGCATAGTTGATAAGGTGAACAGACTTTACATTTTTTGTAGCCTCGCTAATGTCATTGAAGAAAATAATGAATAGTATTGGGCCCAGAATACTACCCTGCGGGACTCCTATCGATGTAGCCAAGGCCTTTGATCTAACTGTTTTGTTTTTCTGGTTGAGTTGTACTATCTGCTTTCTGTTTTTAAGATATGAGTTGAACCAGTTTTAAGTGTTACCTCGTATACCGTATTTGAAAAGTTTGCGAAGCAAAATATTGTGATCTATACAATCAAAGGCCTTGGAAAAATCTAGAAAAATCTCGCAGGCCAGATCTCACCTTTCCATTGATTCTATGATTTCATTATTAAAATAAACCAGAGCTGATTTGATAGACTTATTTTTCAGATATCCATGTTGGTGATTGGAAAACATGTTGAACTTTGTAAAAAAGGGAACTAGTCGTTTAGCCATGGCTAATTCAAAAAATTTTGATACACAAGTCAGTAAATTAATAGGTATAAAGTTGGAAGGTTCCGACTTATTTCCTCGTTTCACTAGAGCTACCTTGAGTTCATCTGGAAAAACGCCCTCCACAAAAGAACTATTAATTAAATCGGTTGAAACTGTTACAATTTGTTGTGCACATTTTTTTAGTATATGGATTGGTACTTCATCAATACCCGTGCTTTTCTTGTTCTTCATATTATTTATTATTGAGAGTAGCTCACATTCTGTAATAGGGTTCAAGACAAAGAGGTGACTGCGAAAATTTATTGCCTTTTCAATAAATAATAATGAAAAACTAGGCTCGTTTATTTCATGATACAAAATAAAAAATAAAGTTAGTGAGTAGGGAGGTCTTGCGAAACAACTTACTTTCTCCATCTTGTCACCATCACAGTATCTCCTACATTTAACTTTATCCTGGTCTCATCAGTGAAAGGATAACTCAGACAAACTCTTATACCATGAGTTATTGGAAACCAATAACCAGACGCAGGCCTGATAATATTGTATACTCTTGTTTTCAGTCTTTTCTCATTCTTCTGGTGAATCTGCTCCAACTGAAAATTTAAATGTACATCTTACTTTTCCTACATGAAGAGCCAGTATTAATAGTTTTGGAAATCGGTTACTCACAGTGAAGGAAAACTGGTCACAATCAGGAACAACAGGCCAATGAATTCCATCTCCCACAGGATGACAACTGAAATTGATGACCTGGCGGAAATTTTCCCAAAAACCTAAATCATATGGAAATACAAATTTCTCTCCTGTATTTCTCCTTCTGAAAGTAGCTTTTTCAATAATCCAGTCCTCAATACCAGTTCTGTTCTTCAGAATTGCTCTGAGCTAGAAAAGGAAATAGAAACGACTACATTTTGAAAGTGAATTATTCAAAGAGTTCTCAATATTCAAGGGTTATAGCCTATACGAAGTCAATTCAAATGGCATAAAAACTAGATAGGTACCGAACGTCGGCAGTTTCTTAGTATGGCATGAGCAGCGTAGTATAATTGTTAATATTTGAAATAAGTCTTTTATTTAGCTGTTCGGATGGAAAATGAAACAAAAAATATATTGTAACAAAATTTCATTAATATTACTGGAGTTTTTTCCAACATCAAATCGTTATTTTTAACACCTCGACACGTGTTTCGATCACCAAGTGATCATCTTCAAAAAGGAAGATTAAAACTTTTAAAACTGTTTTAATCTTCCTCTGTGAAGATGATCACTTGGTGATCGAAACACATTTCGACCTGTTAAATATAACAATTTGGTGTCGAGAAAAAACTCCAGTAATATTCATTACTACACCAAAGGTTTCAAACAGTGCATCATAAGTACAAAATTTCATATAGTATGTTGTGTAGCATCCACTGTATAATATTTGTTTCAATTCCATAATGAATGTTTGGAGTACAAACTGATATGAACTAAAATTTGCTGAAATTTATTGTATTCAGCTGCCCATTCAGGATATCTTCTTTGAGATTTTCCTTCGGAGTAGAAGCAGATAAATTACGATACTCTGAGGGCATATTCATCATTTTTTTCATTGAAGAGTGGTATATGTTGAATGAATAAATAAAACAATGAATAAATACCTGGAAATACAATAGCATTCCCACAGCAGCCACGACTCCTATAGAAAAGCCCAGTGCGAAAACGCACAGGATCATCCCATACAAACCCAATTCGATAATGGGTTCCTGTCCCAGGTAAATATAATGCATCCTATGAATGGACCTGTAGAGAGAAGAGCACAGAATCACAGAAGCTTGTGAGCAGCCCAACGATGCAAACGTTAAGAAAAATGTGAAGTGTGCGTGATTGCCCCATCCAACACAGTTATTGATCCATGGGCAATGATGATCCATTTTTAGGATGCAACGACCACCTGCAGAAAAATATAAATTTTGTGATAGCGGCAAAGAGTACAATACTATAACAACTGTTTGGTCAATAAAACTATAAATGAGCACTGATAACCCCTAAAAAATAGACAGAAAATAGAAAACGTGAAAGTCTTCACTTAGCAGGGAAAGAGATACTTTGTGTGATTGAAGGAAGGTTCTTTTCAGATGTATTTTGGTCAAGGTACAAAAATACAAAAATTTTAGTAAAAAACGTTTTCAGAATGTTGAATAATTGGAATATTATGAATTATTTACACTCAATATATGAAAAAGATTTTATTGTATTCATATTATTTCAATACTACTTACATTTTCTGCAGTGATGAGATCTGGGAGCTTTATATCCGTGGCAAACTCCACAAAATTGTAAGTAATTACAATATTCCTCTTTTTCCTAAAAAAAATTATTTCATTTTTATATACTATTTGAAATATATATTGGTGTGTGCCTACAAATTGATTTCATTAGTTTTGATTGTTATATTAACTTTTGACCATACTAATACTTTTACAAATTGATCCCTATTTAAATTTTTTTATTCTTATATAATTCTGATATTTCTACTTGAGAAATCACTATTACATTGAGAAAATGAGTAATTTGAATAAAAGTGATAACCTTCTACTCTCTCATGAAAGTATTTGGCAGAAATGATATTTTGGTTTGATATGTGAGTAATATTTCTCCGAAACAGTCTGTAAGAGATCAATAGATCAGACAGATTCTACTGCTGGACAAAAGTCTGTCAGATGTAATGCAATATCAGTCATGTATTTGAACACTTATGATGCACTGTTTGGAACCTTTGCTGTAGTAATGAATATTACTGGAGTTTTTTTTCCAACACCAAATCGTTATTTCCAACACCTCAACACGTGTTTCGATCGCCAAGTGATTATCTTCAAAGAGGAAGATGATCACTTGGTGATCGAAACACGAGTCGAGGTGTTAAAAATAACGATTTGGTGTTGGGAAAAAAAACTCCAGTAATATTTATTTGAACATTACATGATAATTAACTTGAGAAGCATTTTATTAACAAAACCACATTCACTAGGTAATAGCTTTTTCAGGTGTGTTCACTATTTCTGGTGAAACTTTCGCAGGAAATTTTCAGCATGATACGTACGGGCATCCATTTAAGGGGTAAGTAACCTGGGCCATGGTACATAGATGACAAAAAATTATAGAGAGTGAGTCCTGATAAAGATACGAATAAAATTGAATTCAACTGCCCCCCAAACGTATTCCTGGGCCACCACATATTCGAGCAGTGAAGAGTCATTGCTGTAATCAATTTGATGATCCCTGGAAGACAGACAAATGAGCATATACCCTACGAAAACAGTGTTGATATTGGACTAACCCAGAGCAGTTATGGGGCCCCAGTGGCAAATCCTCGCGAACGGTGAATAACACATTGTGCTAATGGAGTTACTATTCTACTTAATATGATCCCATATTTTTGTACTTCAGTTTCCATGCATTTAAGTTTAAGAAAATATCAAAACTCAGTAAAATAATAATAACCTCCAAACCACATATTGACACAGAACCATAGGACACAGAATATTTTTTTATTATTCTATGATATTGACACTTACCACACAGATCATAGAGATAATGATCGGTTCCGAACATTTTTCTGTTTTCGACATCCGATTGATTTTACTCCTATCCTGTTGTTATTTATTATAGAAACATTTGTTTACATCGTTCTGTTTCAAATTATGAAATATTTCCGTTATTTCAGAGCCAACTTACTAATTTCATTTATCATAGTTCGTAACTATTCCCAATATTTCGAGTGTAAACCTACCTGTGAGAGTAGAGATAGATATTATGGTTACCTTGAAGCATAGTCTACTCAAATTCACTCAATAAATCCATCGAATACTCAGAAGTTGAAATTCGAGTTCAACGGAGATAGACTCCTGAACATATGGGTTTCCGCGGCCAGCAATCTGAGAAGTCCGGGTTGAACCGTAATTACGTTTGACTATAAACATTAACATGAACGAAAATTACTATTTCCCACTCAATTAGTACATCAAACATTCATAATGGAATTAAAATATATTTCACGTATAGGTATGACACAAATATATTTGTGAAAGTGCCCAATCTTCTTTATTGACCGTATAATAAAAAGCCAAAAAGGTTTTTTCTCAAAATACTTCCTTTTGACTAAATGAAATTCCTTTGGTTGGAATTAAAATATCTTAATTGTATGCATGATTTTATACAGCCCACTCTAATGATAGATCAGATATGTTTTTATCAGTGATAAAAGTTACTGAAGTCTAGTTCTTTCACACAAAACTTCTGAAAGTTCACCTGGAGATTGAGATAATTTTTAATGGTACAGACATTTTATATGGCTACTTTTGTTTCTCAATTTGAATAGAAAGGTGAATTTTATGTAATTCATTGTACATAAGTGACATTATATAACTACTCAAGTGGTGGTTGTAAAATGAAAATCAAATACCTTCAAAATAGTTTTATTCAACACCAAAGTATCCACAGATACAAAAGCTATAATATATATCATTTATAAAGTCACTCTTCATAAAATCTGTTGATAAAAGTAATTTTAGGCTCAACACGAATAAGTTCTAATTGGTTCCTATTTGATAATTTAGAGTTGCAACAACAATAGATTAATACTGGTTCTTTATAATATTCCTCAGTCTTGTGGGTGACCGAAAATGTCATTTTAAAGTCTTCAAATACAGGTTTTTGGAACACACTTATTTGAGCTAGAAATGAATCTAACAAAATAATTGAAGATTTTCTCAGAGATGTGAAAAAAACACCTATTCATTATTTACTTTGTAAGAGGTTGGAAGATAAGGATATTGACAAAAATCTCATATAGAGAGGCAGTGACTTATTTTTCAAACTCACTCTATAACTCATGTGTTCGCTTATTTAAAAATGAATCATTCCAGCTAACAGCACTTGAAGAAGACTAGCAACCAACACTTGCAACAGTCACCCTGGTGGCAATAATAATTATTATCAACATGAACATTTTTGGTTAGGCGGAGCATTCAAGTCAGGATCATTGGGATCTCTTGGTCTTCCTCTTCTACCAGGAAGCATGGCTTTATCCACTGCAGTCTCCATCCTCAACATCACTCTCTCCAAGAGAGTTTCCACAGCTCTGTTGATATTTTGTCCAGTGGCAGCACTTGTTTCTAAATATGGAAGACTGAAATTGGGAACAAATCATTCATTTATGGAAAAACTCTATCAATGAAGGTTGAATTATATGCGACAGACATTTATGCAGAGGTTTAGTCTCGTAGATGAATAACTTTCCAACAAAATCCAGTCGTATCAAATTAAAATTTATATATTAACTGGAATGCACTGTCGATTTAAGTAGATGAATCAACTGGGAAAATTACAAGAAAGAAAGAAGAAATATACCCACATCTGCACGCAAGTAGAATTTGAAGAACTGCCAAATACTAATGAATTTATGAAGCCTTATTCTTCACAGGTAAAATACCATGTACTGTTCAATATGGACTTTTTAAACCTATCTTAAAACTTTTCTCACACCAGTTTCGTACCTACAGGGATGACTTCTTCACAACTTTTAGACTGAATGTATGAAATTAACGTAATTATCATCTAGTACAACTAATGAAAAAACTGGAAATTAATTATGCGAATCAAAACCAGCCAACATAAAAACCAAGTACTCAAGTTCAAACAAATACAAGAAATACAAAATAGAACTAACCCATGTTTTTCAGCTAATTCTCTTGCTCTCCATTCGGTTATTACTCTTTTATCTTCCAAGTCCGCTTTGTTTCCACATAATACTACATCAGGAGAATCACAATATGCGTGCAACTGAAAAGAAAAACTTTCAGTAGAGAGTGATTTTTATGCCTTAAAAATTACTTGCAGGCTGAAAGGAATGTGCTAAATAAATAACAAAAATCAGACAGGAAAACCAACATGCTTCACAAACTTTCCTACGGTACGACTAGTTTTCCTTTCTGAAAAAAAAAAAGCACAAAACTGGTGCAAGGAATAAACTGTCAATATTTTGAACAGGAGCAACAAAATAAAAATGTGAGGCGAAGCAAAATTAAAATGAAGCATATTCCATTTACACTAATCATACCCTCAGCTGCTCTATCCAGTTACGAATTTCTAAAAATGATTGCTCGTTGGTAAGATCAAAGAGAAGTAAAAACCCCATGGCATCTCTATAGAATGCAGTTGTTAGGCTGCGGAATCTATTAAAAAAAACATAATTCAAAATAGAAATGGTTGATATGTAACACACAGTATTGCTTCATTTATTAATTAATATTCAACTTCATTTCATACTTTCATAAGCAGCTAAAATTCTTACAAAATGAAAATTTGTATTCTTGGTGTGGGTGTAGGTAATAAAGACTGAATTTATGTCTAAATTGAACTCTTCAACATATTTGTTTTATAATCAGGCGTGTCTATACGTGTATAGACACGTCTGAAGAAGCTATTTTGTATAAGTATTACCTTTCTTGTCCGGCAGTGTCCCAAAGTTGTAAGTGGATCCTATGGTTTCTGCCTTTCGACTGATAAATCTATGAAATACATATACATAAGCTCCAGATGCTTTGATACACAAAGAACACTTACCATTCTCTTCTCTCTGAAATCTATTCCTACAGTAGATATGAATCGTGAGTTGAACATTCCATCAGTATATTGATAAAGAAAGCTTGTTTTTCCAACTCCTGAATCTCCCAGAGCCAGAAATTTTATCAAATAGTCATAATCCATTTCCTATAATATAAATTCACTAACCTGTTGACTCAGAAAAGGTTTTTACAACCTGTTGAGCAGAAATCATATATCATTAATGTACAATTGACGAACCACCTGTAAATCCATATACGTTAACTTAACAGTTGTAAACGAACGGTCGATGTTTGGATAACCCGATATCAGTCGTCACTGCCAACTGTCAGAAGTGACAGCTATCAGTGGCTGCGTTTTTTTCACAGAACTCATAATTCTATCTTATGTCTATATTTATAAGTTCTGTGTTATTTGTGCTACGATTCCGAATCTTATTCCCTATTCCATTTGCTAATTTTTGTTCTGCCCCAACCAACGGAATCTTCGACGTGATATTGAAGACCATTTGTCTATTTACTTGCTATCCATACTGATAGTGCTTTTTTGGCACGATGTCATTTCTTATCGATACAACGTATCATTTGCTTTCATCTAGGACATCTTAGTTTTTCCTTCGTTGATAAATTCAGCATCCCTTTTTCTTTCTATTATCAACCGAAGATATAACTTAGTAGCTTTTTGGCATGCAACAATCTTTGTTTTTTTTCTACCCCTCGCCGATGTCATCTGATTCTTACTCACGCACACACATTGATGCAGATGATTTTGATACAGAAGCAGTGCAGTTTCCTCTTCCGATGAAAGTTGATAAAGCAAAATGAAAAGAAACTTCCAATATTTCGATATTTTTTGTATTTCTCGTATATAGCAGCGTATTTGTTTTTTCATCACATTATCCGAAAATGATTTCATTTGCTTCTTTGAACGCTAATTTATGAATATCGATGATTAGAGAAGATACAATTCGAATTACCTAATTTTTATGTTGGGTGTCAACGGCATAGATTGCTTTGGTCATTAACCTCGCGAGTTCTGAGTAGGCAATATTTATAACTTCACAAGCCACCTAGGGAGCACCATGACAATCCGTCAGTGGTGCAACGTTTCAGAATCATTTCAACTTCAACTAGATACATTTTCTCGAGAAAAATATTATGAGTCGAGCGCACTATCACTGCGATAATTCACAGCTCGAACTACTTAAATAAAAATTGAAACTAAAACTACTATTGAATTGTTGATAATAAAAGACAACCGACATCTTGATCATGTATTTCTCTTACTTTGAATCATTTTCACTTTGTGAAAAGTGAAAAATATCATCATACTTATCCATTTATAAATACATACCACTGAAATTTATAATAAATGACGTGTAATCTCATTTTCCACATAATTTTGTAACTAATAACAAAGGTTAATGTCACGGGATTTTTGTCACTAGAGAAGAGGGAACCGATAGTTTTGTTGTGGATCTACAGTATTTTCAATAATACTTGAAATTGTTTGTACACGTCAGTACAATTCAATTTACTCTGAAGGAAATGAAACAACATTCTGCAGATGAAAATATTTATTGAAACTGTCAACGAATGAAACACACATAATAGCAACTGGTTTAAAAATTCGATGTAATTTATATACATTAAGAAAATATGTACAACTTAGGAGTCAACAATTGTTCAAATATCAAATCAGATTCAAAATGTAGACATATATTACCTAATATATTTAATTTTAATGTGTAGAATGGTGCATTTCAAAAGGCGTATCAAAGCCAAGGTACTACCATGGTTGGCTCTATACTTGTAAATTTGTTATATGAGGTCACTTTAAAGCTGCAGGTAGCACTTAGAATTAATTTCTGGGCTTGCTGAGGCTATACATGATGTTTCATTCCAATGTTCAATTCGAAATAACTCAATCTCAAATATTCACTATACGGCTCTTCACAAAAAAAGCACGACAAATATACCTACCCTTCAATTTCTGATGAAATTGCCCTGATCATGATTTGTTTTCCGTTTGATTTCATGAATTTGGTAAACAATGAATACAATGATGAGACATTCAAGTATGACAAAAACCTTAACAATATTGAAGTTATTATTTTATTCTTACTTCATTGTTATGAGGGTGTTATACACTTTCGAACACTTTACTATACCATTTTTCTCTGACCGCTGAGAGATATATAAATGAGTAAATGCAAGATTATGGTGTCTCATTCAAACCATTTTTCTGGAGTGAATTTCATAGGGATACATGCCTTATGCCGGCCGCATTGTCATGGAACTCCTAAATGAAGACGGCATGGCTAGCGCACAGCCCCGATTCTCATCCCATCGAGTGTGTTTCAGACGGTCTTAGTAGAAGTATTTAAAGCCAGATTCCCAGCTGTTCCTGCCTTAGATGAGCTCAGATCAGGTGTTTTAAATTAATGGGAAGTGACTTCGCGAAATGAAGTTTCAAACTCGATCAACAGTATGCCCAGAAGGACGAATGCCCATACACAGGCTCGGGGAGGTGAAACGGGATATTAGTTAGACCAAGAAAGTAATTTCCATGGGTGTTCCTATCATTGTTTTTTTGTTTCTGAAGATAACTTGATAGATTCCAATTTACTTTCTTTTGGAATAATTTGGAAGTTCGTATAATTCTCCCTAAATAGATCATTTTCGAAATTATTTTCTCTCCAAAGCACATCATAAAAAATGAAATCCTCCACCAGACCGACTAATCATCGATAAAAATCCCAATTTGAAAAGGAAAATTTCGGCAATTTTACCAGATATTGAACGGGTGTTTGTTTTTCCTGCTGCTGGTGAGTATATACGAGTGTATCTTAACGATTTTCGAATTCTTCGATATAATTTATTCTACATTCACGGCTCTATACATTTTAAAATTTTTCATCAACGGCTTCTCCTCAAATATGGACGACTTATCAGGTATAACAAAAGCAACCCAGAGTTAGATATAATGATCAAGACGAAAATTTGCGCAGGATATATACATTAGATAAGTGATATATACAAATTTGGAAACCTACATTATAAATGTGCTAATATTGTAAGGAAACTTGGTTGGTTTCAGTTACACTTTCCATATTGATGGCAAGTTTTTTAGAACAAGTCATGATTATCTTCGCACAGTTCGAAAAATTGGATCGAAATAGGATTTGTTTGAATTATGTTTTGAGTTGAATCTGATTGGCTGAAACATATTGAAACATTTTTATGTCAGCCTACAGCCTCTTACAAATTTCTTCCCAATCATTAGAGTGGAATTAGGTATTGAATTTGGCCATCAAATCGAACCTTTTAAACTTCTATCAATTTTGCCATTGATAGTTCTACATATCTCTTGTGAAATATGCTGTTGTATCAATTATTATTGCTTGGGTCATGCCAAATATGTAAGTGTAACTGTGAATTGATTCTTAATATTTCACTATGATGAATAAAGGAATCTAAGTTGGATTCACTAACTCCTATGACTAGACAAAAATCAATGCAATCATCATCTTATGTAGAGATAACAATATTTTCCTTATTAAAAATTGGTTCAAAGCCGCTTCTCAGTCATAAATCACAGTTTTCCGCTCTAATCGTGCAATTTTCATGCAACGTTATAAATAATCGTTTAACGAAGAGAAGTTTCCGCACTTTTTTACAGAAGTCATTCACTTAAAGTTCAGTTAAGATTATTTAAATTATGTTGCCCTCATATAATCAATCTTATAATAAATATCTGTCTTTATGGAAACGTTAATCCCTGTGTGTGGAAGAATGCAGTGGTTGAGGTTTTGTCGAAAAAAAATATTACTGAGTTTAGAGACTTGCGTGGAATCAGTATTTTGCCAACATTATTAAATTTATAAATCCAGTTCTACCTAGCTTATTTCTCCATCATAAAAACACATCCCAAAAATGTTTGTGATTGTATCTTCCCTGTCCATATAGTTTTTCGTCAAGATTATCCAAAAATATACATTTTATTTATATTGAAATCTACGAAGTATTCTGCAAGGTTCCTATTCGCAAGGTTATATTTTTAAATTTCTGTGTTCTGAAGTTGAATCTGAAGGAAGTCATATTCTATCTTCACTTTGAGGATTCTGAATCAAGTGAACTTGAAAGAACATTATAACTGAGGAATGACATGAAAGCTGTTTAGGGAACACAAGTCATACTATTTTTGGAGCCAGATATCATATCTGTCTTCATCTATACACGAAGTCGAATGAAAATTATTTTTGTCTATGGTAAATGATGAAAAATCATGTTTCTTTACTCTCAATCTCAATGACACTACCTTGAGCAAACTAAGCCTACCAAATTTCATTTGATTAATGTCACGAATTGATTTGACAAATGACAGACAAGTGACATTCGTCTGCAATTATCAATTCTCTTCTTCAGTTTTTTTATTTTGAGAACTCTGAATCAAGTAACTTTATATTATTATAACTGAGACATGCATGGAAGCTGAATAGGGAACCCAATAAAATATTGTGAATGTCTTCAATTCAAGTTTTCATATCGATATGAATGTGTATTGATTCAGTGGCCATTGAAATTCTATAGAATTTCAACAAGTCTCGACAAAAGTCTTATCTTCAGGAAATAAGTTAGTCCAAACCAATAGAAATCTAACCGTATTGGATCTGTTTATTGAAATTATCTTCTGTAAAAATGAAGCGGAAACTTCTTTTCTCAAACAAACAAACAATTAACTCGTACATAAATTAATCTGAAGAATATTTTTGCGATTGTTATATTTACAATGGCATTGCGATTAGGTGTTATATAATTTTATGAAACAGAAAATGTAGCTCTTATACTATTTTAGCTGGTATTATGAAAATACCCATATAAAGAGTGAAAGTAACAGTAATACAAATGTATTTCTCACAACGAATAACCTCGTTGATATTTTTCACAATTTTGTTACAGTGGAATGTTGAAGGATAGCTTTCTGAAATAAAACTAACCCATTCTTACTTCTAATACACCATTAAATAATTTGAAAATATTCAACAATCCGTCAGGTACTGGGAAAACTATAAGTATATTAATTTCTTCTCCACTTGTATGAAGGAAGTGTATACATCATTTCTTTCTTCGGGTTATGTGAAAGAAAAAAAGCACGAGACATATAAGAATGAGAACTCACTTTCCGTCTCTCTGAAGCTTTCGCTGTAAGCAGGCAACTAGATAACACGAGAGTCCATCTAATTGTTACAATTCGATAAGAAGAGTCCTCAAAGCCAGAAATGTTGTATGTGAACCTTCACTGCTTGATGATTTGAAAACATTAGAGAAATAATTAACGATCAATATATCTCTGGTAATAATCACAAATATATCTTACAAAGGAAAGTGTGGACAGATAAACTTTATAAAGGATAATAACAATTACACAGTTCATGTAAAATGTACGATTCGACTCGAAAGCAAATACAGGTACATTTGACATTACAACAATAATCACAGAAAAGTGAGAGATTGATTACGCAGGGTCAAATTCAAGTTTATGTATGCGAAAATTATATGCAATAAGATTATAATAACAGAATTCAATAACTAATTTCGAGAATACAACTTGTATTTTTCTACTTTTGAATAAATATTTTTTAACATATAGGTATAGAAGAAATTAATTTTTTTTAATATCTCAAACCGTTCTTATAGGTACATTTTATTTGCTGTCTGATGTCACAGAAAAATTGAATGAACCTTTCTCGAACAAATTATTATTAAAAAAAATCCTGGTGAAAATATCCGATAAATATTTTTTATACTTTCATTATACAGAACATCCCCCAAACAACTAAATTTTCTTGAATCTCATCCTAGAGTAGATCCACTAGAACATACATTCTAGTGGATCCCTCTACATTTTCGTATGTCCCTGTGAGAACTTTCTAAATAACGGATCATAAAAATTGAGGTTATGTTAAAACTTTTGGCAAACTTGTGTTGCATATGAAAATGCATATGAAAATAATATAATTTTTTTCAATGCTTTCTACTTGCTTTCAGTTACGTTAACTGTTGTTTTTCATCAATATAATATTTGAAAACATGAATTGAAGATCCTAAAAAACTAAAATTATTTTTATAACGACCAAAACTCATGATGATATGAGTTTATATACATAGAAATTTATTACTGTACTGTATCATCTAGCATTGCATTCTCCAAATACACGATTGTATTCAATGTTTCTAAAGTCTGATTTAAAAAAACGTTCTCTTCATCAACCACAGTGTCTGAGAATATTGAAAATGACCCTGAGATAATCAATGATCATGATGAATTCAATCAAACACACCTGAACACAACTCAAAAACATCCTTAACCTTTGCATTTAACAATGGTGTATTTTCACATATGAAAACTGAAAAGAATAAATCTCCAAAATGGAGAGAATTTTCAGCAGATTTTGAAGTAGTTTTCACATACAGTATCGATCACCAAAAAAAAACTCGCTATATGGAAATCATTAATTCATCCAACCCTTAGAATATACAGGGAGGTTAAAACAATAATTCGTTCGTTTTCCGTTCACCCTGTATATCCTGAGAGAGACTAAAATTGTGCACCGCTTTCATCTGCTGAGAAAAAAGGGGAAATTTGTGCAAAGAAAAAGTTTTCCATGATGTGAGTACTTTTTGGGAACTTTTTTATGATTTATAACAATGAATAATGTCATTTCGAGACTAAATATCACAATATCTTAACTGTAAATCTTATGGCGTATGTAGACATACCCGCAGCGAATCAAATATTACAATTTTTGGTGCGAACGATCCTCAAAATAACTGCATTACATCGGGAATCACAGATTTGGCATACTGGCATTCATGTTGCATTCAAGTCTACTGAATTTCAAGTGAATTCTCACTCAGAACCCTTTTTTTAAAAACTTACTTTGATGCCTCTATTTATGAAGGATCTCCAATTTGAACTACGAAATATTTATATTAGTCTTGATATTTATTATTTTCTGAATACATTATTGAATTATTTTTCTATTCGTGTTTTTTCTATTATGACATTCACAAGTACTTCCCACTAGTGCTACTTCAACTTGTGCGAACTACTACATGGCCTGAAAAGTCTCGGGATTGACACATAGATGGCGTTGGTCTTACTGCATTCACCGCTTTTTCAGTTGGTACTAACCTTCAAAAGAAAGCTGTTGAAATATTTTGATATTTTACTCATGAGTTTGTGAGTTATTGTCCTAAGAGTGATACTGCTTTTGTTATTTTCAAAACAATGAATCAAAAACAATTTCGTGTTTTGATTTTACACTGCTTCAAGCGACTTCAGACGTGGTCGTAGAGACACCAATGCCGCAGAACGCGGTGAACGTCAAATGAGGCAGTGACACCAGAAGACAAAAAAAATCCACAAAATCGTTTTGGATGATAGAAAAGTGGAGTTGCGTGAGTTATCTTCCACAGTAAAGATACTAAAATGAACTTGTTGGCTTTATATTGCATGATCATTTGACTGTGAGAAACGTCTGTTCAAAGTGAGTGTCGCACGAGTTCACTGTTGACCAAAAACTAGAAGTCTTGATGATCCTGAACAATGTTTGACCATGTTTGAACTTGCCAAACCGGAATTTTTGGGTCGATATGTGACAATGGATGAAACATGGATCCATCACTTCACTCCGGAATCAAAACGATCGTCATCTGAGTGGAGAGCAACTGATGAACCTCGTGCAAAGCGACTGAATGCACAACATTTGGCTGGAAAGGTTATGTCCTTGGTATTTTGGGATGTGCGTGGTGTTATATTCACTGACTATCTTGAGAAGGAAAATAATATAAACAGCTAGTGTATAGCGTTATTGGAGCGTTTGAAGGCCGACGAAAGGTATCAAGACAATGTACAGTCTATTGAAAACAATTTTCCAACACCAGAACGAAAATTATAGTCTATCGACGCGCGTTTCGCTAACCAAATAAGCGTCCTCAGGGGTTGCTAACTTGGTTAGCGAAACACGCGATGAGAGACCGTCATTTTTAATCTGATGTTGGGAAAGTGTTTTCAATAGATTAATTCTACGCCAGAGGATGCAGAGTGTCACAAATCAATGAAAACAATGGCAAAATCCAATGAAATGGGCTTCAAATTGCTCCCGCATATACCATATTCGCCAGATTTGTCTCTTAGTGACTAGTGACTGTTCGCTGTCCTCAAAAATATTCTCACCAGTAAGAAATGTTATTACTGAAACTTAGGCCTATTTTGAGGCAAAAAATGAATCTACAAAAGTGATACTGAAATTGATAAAGCCAATTTGGAACAAATATGAACGCATTTTCTTTCTTAGGCCCAGGTTTTTTCAGCCCAAGTGTTATAGCTTCCGACTCAGTCATGGCCAGTGGAATAAATCGTTTCTGCGTACAGTTTGGGTCGGTGATCAAAAATATGTTCATGCATTTACTTTGAAAATCCATCACTAACTGAATACAGTCCTGAATTTCAATGTTTACGGCTCCAATCCACCGGAGCATTTTTCTTAGATGTCTCTAGGGCGTTTGACAGAGTTTGGCATGACGGACTTCTAGCCAAAATGAGCAACTTTGGCTACACGAAACCAATGGTGAGATTAATCGAATCTTTTCTAGCTGATAGGCGATGCCGCTGCAGAGTAGGACAAGATTTCTCAACCATGCGATTACTGTAAGCGGGGGTCCCACAAGGTGTAGTCCTTTCACCACACCTCTTCTCGGTATACGCAGCAGACGTGCCCAATCCGGAGAACAACACAGCTCTGCTGGCGAGATCAGCAAGCCAAGCGCACGTCACCAGATACTTGCAGCAACACGTAGATAGATTAGAGGAATGGGCCAACCTGTAGAAGATTAGTATATTCCCTGACAAGAGTCAGGCAATACTGTTCACCCGGAGGATGGTACACCCGGAAGGAAACGTCATCTTCAACGGACAAGGATTCCGTGGACCAACGAAGCTAGATACCTGGGGTCAACCTAGAAAGAAGATTAACATTCAGGCAGAGGATAGGAATGGCGAGGTCTGCCCGACAATACCTATCACCAATCATAGGTCGAAGAAGCAACATGAAAGTGAAAGTGAAGCTGCTGATGATAAATACCGTAATATTACCGATAATCCTGTATGCCTGCACTGCCTGGGGCCAGTGCGCAGTGACATACAGAAGACAGATCCAGTCGTTTATGAACGCATACGTAAGGGGCGCTGTGAATGCTCCAAAATTTGTACCGAATAGGTACATATTCTGGGATCTAGACCTGAACATACACTAAATAGACGCATATATGAGACAACACGCAGAGGACACGTTTGACAGAATTCGAGCGCACGACAATCAAGCGTTAAGCGATCTATACAATGTACTGAACAGAGATGACCCCAAATTCCGAGAGAGGGACAAACACAGAAGGCCAACGAAGCAGAACCAGAGATCACCCCCGAGAGTCGCTGTTCCGCGGCTCCGGTAAGTATGAAAATTTTTAAACCAGATTTCGAATTCATCTCTTTTTCAGATTCACTGAGGAACAAAATTACTCGCGACAAAAGACACTCGTCTCCGGTTAGTTTTCGGGGACCTCATGCAAAAATTCAGTTGGAAAGCCATGATAAAAGCAAACAACAGATTGAAAAGTGGAAGTACCTGAACGCTAATTTTCGACTAGAAGAGGTCAGATGTCAATCTTGCTGAAGTGCACATCAGTAAGTTGAGGACCGCTCCGGAGGAGCGGGGATGGATGGACGAGATGGGATGTTCTGCACACAGTAACCGTGTAGGGAAGATCTCAACTCAGGGCACTCATCATTTCGGAGGGGGCATGGGGGCTCGAAGAGTCTAACAGACTGATAACAGATTTCTACACATCTACTGCACATCTAGAGGGAGGGGCTTCTCACCGGCTGTAATACCTAGCGAAAGCTATGTATAGTAATATAAATTCTTAATTCGGGAAGAGACATATTTCTTCAATTCAGATTATTTTTAAATGCCGTAACTGTCTCTCATAAAACGTTAAATTATTGCTGAGGGACCGAGAGTGTTAAGATAAACACTATTCATCGGCGTGATGCCCAGTCAGATATAATTATCACGTAGCTCGAAATGTTAATATGGGCATATCAATATCCCAGAATTGAAAGTTTTGTGAACTCATCGAAAGATGTTTTCGATGACCTACGTCGTACGTGAGGGGCGAGGCACTCGTGATGGTCTTCCTGGCTTTTGGAAGAAGAAAAGACAGATGGTTCTGAGAACTCTTCGCTTAAGGCAGCGGTCTTAGAGTGGTGCGAAAGTTTTTGTTTGGGAAGTGAGTCTGCGTGAATTTTGAGGAGGTTCGAAAACTTGGGAGTTTGAAGGGTTCTCTTGACGGTCAATCAAGGGCGGTATATTTTGTTTTGCGAGATATTTTTCCTGGGTGGAATCTTTAATTTTTTTAATTCTTGAAAAATAGGCGATTTTGGGTAGTCTTTTATTCTGAAGCGAAAATCGAGCAGTGAAGTGCAAAAGTTTTTGAATAGCAGGAAACAAAGGCAGCGGTGAGTTAAATATACATATGTACTAACCATTTTATAATTTTGGAAAAGAGTTAGCCATAATAAATTTGTATACATAGTGGATCTAATAATTGCCTTATAGATATTTAGCGGTCAGAAATCATCGGCCAAGTTAGAGTATTTCGTCACTCTCGTATATTATAGTAATTTCCGGCGAAGGCACAAATATTGAGGTTAATTTTTTTTTCGAGATTTGGTTATGATTATTGTTTTTTTTTAAATTTTTTTTTGGTATTTTTGTTCTTTAACTATTTTATTGTATATTTTTCCTTTATTTCCTTTATTATTGAATATAGTTTCTTCTGAAGGTTTTAATCAGGCTTTTATTTGAAAATCTACCATAGTAACCTCTTGGAAGGAAGTGTCTGCGAATTTTTAAGAAAGATCTTTTCTCTCTGCAACTAAAGACCTCCTTCTAGTGCAGGAGGCGGAATTCAAGCCTCTTTCGGACTTGCCTAACATCCAAAATTTGATGTGAAGAAATTCGCATCTGGTGACAGCAGCTGCCAAATTTTATTTGAATTCAAACAAACACGGCAATAGCGAAAGGGTTACCAAGGATTGATAGACAGTTAATGACGTATTACTTTACAGGTGACTCAGCTATAAACCCGTAGATGTTTCAGTGGGATACGTATATATAATAATAATAGTAAAACCGTGCCGGATTTACTACACGGCCATAAATCAGTGCGGCGGCTGTAGTTCATTCATTCATCAAAGTCTTGGAATTCTGAAAAGGAGTTTCTCTTGTATTGGAGTATATATAACACAGTAGTACCAGGTAAATATGATCTGTGACTTCCGGTGAATACAGTTCGAATGTGTGGTATACATAAACTATTTTGAAAATATTTCTTTTTTATATACAGTGCTGATACAGCTACACGTTTTGCGAACCATGATGCAAAAATTGCAGAAATTATTATTGATTCATAAATCGAAAAACTACTTACACTACGCATATCGAGTTTCTCCAACACTTGGATTTAATTCACTGCAAAATAATTTCAACTTGATATGTACGTGTTTTTTGCAAAATATCGTTTAACGTTCTCACTCGTCGTGTGAGACGTTTGTGAAGCTCTTGTAGTGGTAGAAGAAAAACACGAGGAAAACTGCGTATGCTGTCGGGAAAGTTATCCTGGCGATGACGTCGATGGTTTTCGCCACGCGGATGGGGTGGGGCGGCTCCTTTTTTCTAACCTGCAGGACACATGCCTACTCAAGGTTAGATTTTTGTGAAATGGAGGTTAGTAAAACGCTAAATGTAATGATTAACCAGTAGTGCAACTACAACAAGTATCTTATTTTTCATTTCAGTATGATCTAAATTCCATTTTGAATTAATTTTCATCTGTATTTCTACATTCTTTAATTATAATGAAGCATCATCAAACAGTATTAGTTCAATCTTCATTGGTGATATCCATTACTACACTAAAGGTTCCAAACAGTGCATTACATGTTCTTGATGATTCACTGATTGCAACAATGACGTATAGATATGAAACAAAATGCCTGGTAGGGACAAATCCTAATGCGCTACAGTGGATGTTTTTTCAACTACACTCTGACAGATGAAAAAGGGAACTGTTTTATCGATAGTGGAATTTGGCGGTGAATTTCGAAATTTCAACACGAATTAAATTAAATAATTGGAAAAATCTGTTTTGGTGAAATTTGCTGCATTCAGAGCTACTATTCATGATTTTATGTCCAACAATTGATCAATTCAAAAGTTAAATAATGTTTTCAACAAATCACAGAAATATGTTATTCAATTATGTGGTATAGTCACTTACAATGCTCATGCCAATACAATCTTTTGTACCAGAAGATATCAAGTTTGTTACTCCCTTAGTAAAAGGAAACGATCTTGATTAATTGTGAAAAATAGCACAATGACACAATAAAGGTCACTTAACAAAAACACACAACCAAAAATTAATTTCACCAGCGACACAACATGTAGATTTTAATATAGGTAAATCAATGTCAATTGACAAAACAGATTGTTTCGATTGTGCTAACTGCCATCCATATCTATATAGTACAGCGCTCAGGTGGATGTCTAAGGAAGCAAACAAAAAGGCGGGAAACTATCAAAATACTTGTTGGAACATAGTTGGCAAGCTTCGAAACCAACCGCGGAACGAGACTAGTCCTTTGTTCTCCACCGCAACTCTAACTGCAGAGTAATTATTAGAAATCAGAGCACAAAAAACTTTTCGGCAGTCAATTTCAAGGTTTGGCCAGTCAATAGACAATGGTTGTTAGATGGCGCTTTTTTACTCGAAGATGAGATAGTTTCAACACATTTCGATACTCTTTCGTAGAACATCTCGATTTTCATGATCAAAAAATAAGTTTTAAGAGTGGCAATACTGACAAAGTTGTTTATTACGGACGGTATTTATTTTAAAATTTATTGTGATTTACAATGAACAAAGCAGATCGTAGTTGTACTAGAGGTTGTACTAAAACATAAAAACTATGTTACTTTCATCTAATGCCCATAACTACAGCATTATGTATAGTGAATGTATAGCAAGCATTCTGAGTGATACCAAGAGATTGACATTTATACAATATTCAACTATTTCGATTTTTAAGCTTTCACTTTCCATTGCAAAAAATCGAATGGTATACATACAGTGATAAATAAAATCAATTCAATACACTGACGTACTAAGGATCTTTCTCTATGAAGGATTGGTTCCCTTTACCCAAATACCCTTTATACGTATCTGAGTCTAAAATACGGTTAATATGATAATTGAAATAATATATAAAAAACACAACATTTTTGTATTTTCATATCATCAGAGATTTTGATTATATCATAATCAATAATCATTTTATCATAATTATATGATTATATCATATAACTATCATGAATATATCATATAATCATATGATTATGATTATATAATATTCAAGAAGTTGATTATTTAAAAGGGAGGAAAATGAACACTCAAGAATAGAATATTTTAAACCATGATTATCGAAACAAATAACCACTCTCTCGATTCATCATCTGATATGAGATGATTATGAGTATTGATCCTTGTCCTTGATTTCGGAAATTAATTTCTGTTTTTCATTAAACTCATCATGGATTGATATCATTCTCTTTGTATTGGCTGAAAATATTTTGGTTTCATCGATTTATTTCACAATAACTCTGATTCTGGTTTTCATTTCCATCTGAATGAAATATTCAGAAAATTAGTAAACGTCTAGACGTTGCTTTTTCACAATTCTCTTCCATTTTGGAAATTGGACTGAAATGTTCAGCAGTTTCATATTTTCTTTCTAAGAATCCACAAAAAATTAATTAACATTACCTATAATTTGAAACAAAAATTTTTCGAAATTCACTCTGAGGGAGTCTATTCACAAAATCATTCCATACATGTTCTTTGAATAATTTCTGTACTCTCGGATGACTTGACTTATGCTAGTGCTTTTATGTGTATTAGCTGCCTGTAAAATCATATCGGATCTGTTATAGATAAAGTAACACAGGCAAACCCAATAAAATTTTTAACTGAAAACACAACTCAGTAAGATGGAACTTAATCCAAACCATTGGTTTGGATAATAGTAGACGTGATTCCTTAGGACGGCCCGCCACCTGATATGGGGCCCTTAGATTTCGTTTTTTGGAAATTTTCAAATCTGTTTGCAAACAAAAATATTCAAAAATAATATAATGAAATTTTGGACATTCATTGGAACTGGGTTTTGAATGGAATGCTTGTTGATATTGTCGTTTATTTGAATATAAAATACAAAACTGCTGATTACTTAGAGAAGGCTGGACTGATTTCAAAACCTGAACCAGTGTTGAAAAGATAACTGAAAAAAGTTAGGAAAACTATGTCTTTCCACAAGGTACCAACTTTATTTTTTGTCTCATTCAAAGTTTATAAAAAAGGGGAGACTTTTTACGTCACCACTGTATGTATAGATCCAATGTATATAGAAACTAGGGATAAATTGGCTTAGATGAAAGCATCACCTAACTAAAACTAAACACAAAAACACACTACTAACGTAATTATGAAATCATAACCTACCATAAATGAAGGTTTATTTACCTCTGCGCAGCCGTTGTTTGCCGCATGCGTGCATGGATTTGGCCCGCAGTTTGTACACGTGACTATCTCATTGGGCACAGCAGAGTCTCTCTTCTTGTCTCCCTGAACAGAAATAATATCAAATTTTTATTCCTATGTAACGATAATGCTAGCTATGTAGGTTAGTATTGTTAGTTTTTGGTCTACTAAGTATACAGTAAGTAGGAGAGAAGTCCAATCAATGAAACTAAGCTTGAAATGTTGTGAAGTAATGGTAAACATAAGAATTGCGATGGTTCAAAGAAAGTATGAATAAGAAAAACGCCGTGTATTATATTTCTGTAATTCATTGGGAGTATTGCTAATACAGGAATCATATGATTTCGCTTGTCATTTTGAATATTTTTCAACATCTACATCTACAAATACGCATAGTTGACAATCATTTGATGCGACGGCTGAAAATCGACAAAAGGTGGTTATTACGAAACGCAAACAGAGGAGGTTGCTTCACAAGCTCATTAGAATATACGCGTCACCTATAACCTCGTTCCAACTTATCGCTGTACGTAACGTAACAATTATTCAATGCGACGGCTGAAAACCGACAAATGGTGACTATCCCGAAACGTAACCACCGAAAATGCTTAGTTACAGACTGCATGCAACAGTATCCCCCGTTATAGCCTCAAAATAACATGTCCGCGGTTACGTTACGAGTCATTTGTTGAAATGACTATGAAATATCATGAATATGATTGCAATTATAACCAATTTCTTCATCTTTTGCAACGATGAACTCGTCCCAACTTCTCGCTGTGCGTAACAATTATTTTGAGGCGACAGCTGAAAACCCACAAATGATGACTATCCGGAAACGTAACCGAACGAGGTTACGACACAAGCCCATTCAAAGATACGCATCACCTATACGCTCTTCTCAACTTGTCGTTGTGCGTAACGTAACAATCATCCAATGCGACGACTAGTGGGTTGGCTTGTAACACGTATTAAAGCAAAGTGGGTAATTACGGACCACATGTAACAGTATCCCTTATTTTGGCCTCAATGTGGTTTCGTTACGGGTCATTAATTGAAATAGGTCGTGAAATATCATGAATGGGATTGCAATTATAACCATTTTCTTCATCTTTTGCAATGATGCACTCGTCCCAACTTCTCGCTGTGCGTAACGTAACAATTATTTATTGCGACAGCTGAAAACCGACAAATGGTGACTATCCCGAAACGTAACCGAACGGGGTTACGACACAAGCTCATACATGTCACCTACACATTCGTCCCAATTTGTCACTGGGCGTAACGCAACAATCATTCATTGCGACTGCTGAAAATCGATAGATGTTGATAATCCCAAAACGTAAACGAACGCAGTTACGAAGCAAGCTAAATAAAAGATATGCTTCACCTACACACTCATCCCAGCTTCTCGCTGTGCGTAACATAACAATTATTTATTGCGACCGAACGAGGTTACGACACAAGATCATTCAAAGATACGCGTCACCTTCACACTCGTCCCAACAATCATTCATTGCGACTGCTGAAAATCGAAATATGTTGGTTATTCCAAAACGTAAACGAACGAGGTTACGAAGAAAGCTAATTCAAGGATACGCGTCACCTACACACTTGTCCCAACTTATCGCTGTGCGTAATGTAACAATTATCCAATGCTACGGCAGAAAACCAACAAATGGAGACTATTCCGAAATGTAACCAAACGAGGTTACGACACAAGCCCATTCGAAGTTACGCGCCAGCTACACACACGTCCCATTTTGTCACTGGGCGTAACGTAACAATCATTCATTGCGACTGCTGAAAATCGACATCGACGAAATCGACGAAACGGAAACGAACGAGGTTACGAAGCAAGCTAATTTTAAGATACGCGTTATCCACACACTCGTCCCAACTTATCGCTGTGCGTAACATAACAAGTATTTAAGGCGACGCGACGGCTGAAAACCGATATATGGTGACTATCCCGAAACGTAACCGAACGAGTTTACGACACGAACTCATTCAAAGATACGTGTCACCTACACACTCGTCTCAACTCGTCGCTGTGCGTAACGTAACAATTATCCAATGCAACGGCTAGTGGTTCGGCTTCTAACGGTTACACATATAAAAGCAAAGTGGTTAGTTGTAGACTGCATGCAACAGTATCCCCTATTTTGGCCGTAACGCAACATGTTCACGGTTACGTTACGAGTCATTTGTTGAAATGACTCGTGAAATATTGCAATTATAACCATTTTCTTCGTCTTTTGCAATGATCAAACGGCTCTCCCAAAGGCAAAACTATTTTGATATCTCAACTGACAGTGTCGGCAGCGATCGGGTTTTAATATTACTTCTTTATTGACATGATATATCTAAATTCCAATTTCATTAAGTGGACGGACACACACACAAACCATAAAGTTAGCCTCCAGGTAGTAATTTTAGTTGAGTTATCTGTCGGTGGCATTATGAATTTCAAACTTACTCTAAAAAACTGGGGGCTCTCACAGAATGTGGAATAGTATTCTTGTTCTGCGGTCTCCTAATAGTGATTAAATAATATAAGTTTTTTGAGCAGACTTTATAGGATAATACATACAGGGTCATATTTATTAGAATGGATTTAGAGAAACACGTGTTGGTGTTGATAAGGGTAATAAAAAACGACATATATTTGTACTTCAATAATCTAGTCTAATAGCAAGAAAACTAATATTGTTATTATAGGGTTCTGTACTGTAACTGTCACAATTTGACTTCGAAGTAAACCATTTAAAAATACTTCAGAAGTTTATTGTATTCGTTCGAAAAAGTCATTGTAGGACGAAACTGCAGTAACGTTAGTTACAAATACAAGTGGTACAAAGACAAAGTAAGTTTTTTTCTCATTTTTCATGATCACATGTATTCTTTTTTTATTTTATTCTTGGGGCACTACCGATTGTTTTCTTCTTCTTTCAATTATATAATTGTGATCTTAGAAGAACTTACTTTTTGACCAAAGCCAACCTAATTGACACAAATGTTCACTTCAACACTTTGTTGATAGTAGCTGAGCTGCTAAGTGAAAACTAAATGTTTTTCGTTCAATCCCCAATTATATTGCAAACTTATAATCAGGTAACGTGCTAGAAGTGCCGGAAACGAAATATCTACCCAGAATGTTTCGCCATCAAGTAGCTACTGTGGGGCCAATGAGACTCTGATCCTAGATTAACAATTTTCTTTCTCAAAAATGACCTGGACTTTTTCTCTGAGTAGATTTTCCTTTCGTAGCACTGTGTTCACACCTGAAGAAATACGAGCTACATCTACCGGGTGTCAACGAATCTATCAGACAAGTCATAATTTCTAGACTATTAGGAGAATTGAAATGAGATTTGATATAGTTGAATGGTATGTGGAGAGGAATGTTTTCACATATTTTTCACTTTCGTCAAAAAATCCTTTTTTCGGAAATTGCTTGTCAAAAAATGGTCGCCATTTGAAAAATAATAGTTAGACACGAAAATGTTATTTTGTAAACTTGTCTCATTCATATTTAACACACTAGTCACTAAAACTCCGCTATTGCAATTTTCTGATATCACCTGAGGTCCATAGATTAGTTTACGTCCGATCATGGCCACCTAGATGCAATTTTAAAAGTGACTCTGAAAAAATCAAGTAGGCTGAAAAAATCAAGTAGGCTGAAAAACTTCCGGAAATGTCAGTTTCTGATCCAGAATTGTCTCAGAAATCCAAAAATGTTACAATATACAGGGTGTTCCATTTAAAAATTCAGAACCGGAGCCATTTCCGCTAAAACCGGAAGTGACCGGAAAATGAAAAATATGTGAAAACTCTCCTCTCCACATACCATTTACCTGTACCAAATCTCGTGTTGATACACCTAATAGTCTAGAAGTTATGACTTCTAATAGATTCGTTGACACCCGGTATAACGAAACACATGCACATGCGTAAACGAAAGGACAGAGGCAAGCTTAGCAGTGGTCAGTAGTAGACGTTTTACGGCGTCTACACATTGCGACAGGACAGGAATATGCTGGAACGGGAACATGACGTGAATTTTCTTTTCTATAGTTCCTTATGGGGGACGGACAGGCACATGCCAGGACGGGCCATGCAGATGCCGTGCTGTACCCCTTCGAGGGACATGTCCCGTCATGTTCCCGTCCTGTACCGTCCTGTCGCAGTGTGCGCGAGACCTTAAGCGTCACCGAAAGTTAGAGATAGGGAGATGAGGAGCATAGCTTTGAGTAACCTAGGCTTACCAAGGGACTGGCCAGAATAATGCCTATCCTGCTGAGTACAGCGGGCAGTCGCTGCAACATGACAGACCAAACAACGTACAATCTTATGAGGAGAGCCACTGACAAAAGCGTTTCGGGCCACTCGCCCTAATTCACAATTTTACGTATTAAAAATTTGAAAGACATGCTTTCGATCGGTTAGTTGCGGATTATGTCAGGTAGCCTGTAGAGGTTTTTCGCTGACGGGCTTAGGGATTCTACTAGTGGAGTTCTGGGATAACCATTGAAATGCGGATTGGCAATGAAAAATTGGTAAATGATTATGAAAAGTGTTGAAACTTCTGAAGCGATGGTAATTTCTTGTTTCTACTGGTGTGGAAGTAACGTATGATTTGATAAACTCTCCAGTGGCGTTAGATCAGGGCTACTTTCTGGTCATTCAGTCGTTTCGAAATATTCTGTCACAGTGATTCATTTATTATTGAATAAGGACAATTCTATTGTGCCGAAATGAAATATAAAACAATAGTCCCAATTATGTGTTCCATTGTTGAAAAATGGTATATGATGTTATCACAAATAATATTTGTATTGGTTGTTTCAACAGTTTTCTTCGTTTTTATGAGTCTACTTTAAACTTTTATATCTCATTGGATACTCATTGAATTGATTCCAAATAAACGTCATTTGAGTTAACGTAACCTACCGATGAGAATGTTATATAAGTGTTTGAAGAGATGGTATTCGGTTGGCAGGAGGTTTGGGGAGTATGGTGGGTAAGGCAGAACTCGTTTGTTGATCATACCAACCCCTGACCACCATTTTTGGATGGATTTCCCCCTTTGGGAAGGGCTAGAGTGGCCCATCGGAGTCTAATGCCCAACCACTGTTCTAAACGTCTCTTGTTATCGGATCAAATTTTCGTCGCACTTGACCGTTCCAAAAAAGGATAGTTTTGGTCACGCAAAAGCAAAGTAGAACAGACTTCGAAACGTTCACAATTTTGGTCGATCGTTAAAATTGAGCTTTTCAACAGTTCCAATAAGTTTTGAACTATCAAAAACTGTATGAAAGTTGACACTCAGTTCTTCCGACATCCTAAGCACCGTCCGTAATGGGTCAGTCTCCATGAAGTTCCTTAAATCCTTGTACACAGAATATTCTTGATGAATTGATCATCAGTGATTGTCCATACTATCGTTATTTCAATTGTGACCACAATTTTCTTCATGGGTTTATTTTCAATCTACAAAGTTCACGCTCAACATCTTTTACTAATTTGATAGGTAGAATCGGCACCTCTTTATTATTTCCTGATGATGCTGACCTGACAAGCGAAACGGGTTTCGACGGATTGTTTTCTTTGAAGTGTGGAGAAGTTTTCTTTGTAGAATTTTTCAGTATACTTGTTCAATACATTTCTCACTATAATATGTTTATTATGATTTCATGTTAATATCATTACCTAATGGAACTAGTTAACATTTCCTCCATAGTTTTTAATGAGGATTTGGCAGGACTTTAGTCATTGGCACCACGCCCATTAGGGAGTGTAGCATATCAACCGAAGGGGGTACATTTAATTAGCTCTAAAACTGGATCCAACTTATAGTGGCGGACTTCTTAATACCAGAGGTACACGCACATGTGCATAGTCACATCATCACCATTGTAACCAGGCTCTTCCACGTGCTACCACTACTTCACTGAGGCTGAGGTGGAATACAAAAATCAAAACTCTAATTTGAATTTTAGGATAGTTATGTTAGGTCAGGTTAGGGTTGGGTTATGGTTGAAGTTAGGTTACGTTCGGTTGGAATATTGAAATTTGTATTCCAAATATGTTTTTTTGAATGATATTTTCCTCAAACCAAAACTATTATTTGAAATATATGTCGGTTTATGTTAGGTTAGGATTATGTTCGGTTAGGTTAGGTTAGGTTGAAATATTGAATTTCATGAAATATAAATTTTTTCAATATTAATTTTCTCTAACAACCCCAACCAATCAGTTTCGTATACCACCCCCTTTCGATTGATATGTCTCACCCCTTTATAGGCGTGTTCCCAAAAAATAAAGTGCAGCCTATTTGTTTCTATTCAAAAATTACTTCTACTTTCACGATTTCATGAATGACTTTTTCTATTACAGTACTTTATGGAATGTGACATGATATTCTATTATTAAAATAAATGATTTTGTCAGTTATTCAATAGGAGTGTCAAAGAAAGTACGATCAGTCAACTAATGAAAAACTTTTACGATTGTTTTTACAAAAAATAAGTTTCATTTAGAGAAATTGTTTATATATTCTCATGAAGGAATTTTTACTAAATTGATGAAGACTATTCAATAGCTGCATCCAAATTGTTAGATTACAGAGTTTTTGAAGGTCACTCTACATATAAATATTATTTTCATTAGTTCGGATTTCCATTTTCTGATATTATATAAAATGCTTTGAAATCCCTGAAGGAACTATCAGGAAAGGAAGAATTAAAAATGAATAGGTGAAAATAACAATTATATTATGCAAAAAACCTGAAATGAAATGATAGTGGAACGAAATACAAGTAAAAATAGAACAATTGAACAAAAAATAAAAAGTTATGAGATTCCAAGCTAAGTTACTTCACAACGTTTCGATTGTTAGTGTCCACATTCGTCTTCGGGTGATGAAGATTCATCATAAAACATTTCCAAGTTGCCAAAGGTCTTACTATTGATTCTAGACTTAGTTCTGAACTTAACTGTATTTGCTTTTCGACTGCGGAATGTTGCAAATCTAAGCTCTGACACCAACCGCCGAACGAGAAATCGCTTTCTGTCTTTCTCTGGAGCTTTGTTGGTTCAATTCCTCAATAAATTTTCAGAATATATCCGATAACTGTTTCAAAAATCGGAATATCTTCATAAAAGAGATCGATGAGTTCCATTTTCATGACTTCCAACATAATTTAAGTAGTAAGTGCTTCAGTCATGAAGAAAAATTACTATGTAAACGTATTTGTCGAAGAAAAGTTACGTTTTGAAGCGGATTATATCCCTCTTCAGTACACAGTTGCTAGTTATTTTTCAAATAGCTTGATTTGAGTTACTGAATCAATCAACTGGCATGAAAACTAAAAGACAGAAATAAACAAATCAACGGATTAGGAATCAAAGAACATGAGTTATTATTGAGGTAATTATATGAATTGAATGATTCATTGCAATTAACCATCTCTAATAATTACAATTTCACACCGCATTTTAGCCCAGTCTCCCTTCAAAGCATTACAGGCTACCCAACATAATCTTTGAAGGATATTAATAAGCCGGTATTGTTTCAGTCTGTATCTACAAAGTCGAGCTTTTAATGAGTTATAAACTTCATTAAAAGGAAATTGACACCAAATTTGTAACATAACTTTTAAATATACCTTAAAAATATATTGAAAAACTGATGACAAATATAGAATATATTCGGTTATCTACGATTTCTACTTTCTTCTCTCAAGCTACTCAAGCAGAAAAATGACAAAATTAAACAATCTTACTATTGACTGAATGCTTTGGTTTGTTTGGATCTTCAATGTCGAATTATTCGGATTTTTTCAAAGAGGCACTGACCAAGATAGTGACTACTGTACTGATCAGTGATCAGATTATGTATTAGTTTTTATAAGGGGATTTTGTCAAAAAATATTCTGATCGAAATCATCTACGGACCGTTCATTCTTTCTCGTACAAAGTACACATTTGCTACACGGAATTCTGAACTCAGCGTCATCTGATCAGACGTTTGATGATAGGAGCATCATTCCAAATAGTGATAAAACCAGTGTGTGGTCAAATTACATGAAAACATGTTTCAAATTAAAGGACGAAGGTGCTAGAACATTTTTATTACAATTTTGATCAAAGCATCAATAAATAAAGAATAAGAAAGAAAGAGATGAAGTTGAGAAACATATGAGAATAGAGAAACGTATAACTGGAACCTATAAATTCAAAACAATTACTGATTTTGAACGCCAGAATTGCAACACTTCTCTCGACGCGAGTTTCACCAACAAAATGACATCTTCAGGAGGTAAAGTATACTGATTTCTAACTCTAACACTCTCAGTCACACTTTCAAACAAAATTCAATGATTTTGGGTCGAAATTAGAGCGACATTTTCTCGAGACAGTTCCCTATGAGTATAACAGAGCGATTCATGTAATCTATGGGATACTTGGAATGGGACCCTTGTCAGTGTTCATAGTTCTCATGCTAGACTTTGCTATTTCTGGACTTTTGAACGCATCAAAAAATCTAGTGTTTCGAACCGATCTCAACAACTTCAGACAGTTTTCATCTATTCTGTGGAAGTTCTCCAGAACGTGTTGACAGAAACTAGATTTTGCTAGTCTCCGAAATCGGATATGTGATACATGTTCTTTGAAGTGGGTTTCAGTAGCTTGTTTAGTCTGACCTATGTTTTTTAAAGAATACAAGCACTACAGAAAAATTCTGAAGGCGCTTTGAGAGTGGTGCCTGTGCGAAAGTAGCGATTCACATTGGATTTGAATCGTTGGAGAATAAATCCATTTAAAAAAACGTTCTCAGGAAGTTTCTTCCACATGAACGCAGTGCTCCAAATGAAAGAGTTCATAAATAGTGAAGTTTGAGGTGTACTGAGTTGAGTTTGAGTTTTAAGGTTCAAAACGATAAGCAGCTACAGTCTGTCGCGTATTTCTGACATGTACCGCTCTTGGTGTAATAAAATGTGCCAAGTCACTTGATTACTTTGCGTGAAAGTATCTATAAAGTAGACACGAATCTCCAACCTTTGTTGGATGTTCCAGACTATTAACCCAACTATTAAGGTTGGGAATAGGCGGAACGCGATAAATCTTTCAACAAGAAGAAAAAAACACCTTTCTTGTAAGACAGGTTGAAAAATCTGCAAAGTACTGATGTCTTTCCCAGAAAATCGACTGTGGAATGGGACGCTGTGGATTTTGTAAAGTTTTGATCAACAGCTTCAACTAACGATCAGAAGGATCTACACCCGTTTGGATTGGCAAGCAGTTTATCTCTAATTCTCTGATTGTGAAGTTCACCATGGACAATAAATATCCTGAAAATAAATACATCCTTGCAGCAGTATAACAAATA